CCCCCCCCCCCCCCCGCGCGCCTTCCGTAGCGATAGCGGTGGCGACGGCGACGGCACGCATGGGGGAGCGGCGGCGGTGGCAGCGGCGGCGGCACCCAAGGACGTGCGGTCCGTGGGGGAACACTCTTGCCAGATCTGCTTCGACCAGGACCATTCGACGGTGATGCTGCCCTGCGGACACGGCGGCCTGTGCTGGGACTGCGGCCTGCAGATCTACGCCCTCACGGAGGAGTGCCCCATGTGCCGGACCAAGATTGAGCTGGTGAGCTGGTTGCCCGTGCTGTTTGGTGGTGGCTGGTGGTGTTGTTGCTGCCGCCGCTGTTGCTGTTGCTGCTGTTGATGTTGTTGGTACTGGTACGGGTGGTGTAGAGGTGGTTTGGTGGTGGCTGGTGCTGTTGGTGTTCCTGCTGCTGGTGCTCGTGGTGTTGTCCTCGCACTCGAAACCGTTCCGACCTCTGTAGCCCATCCAGCGCCTCGTCTTACCGGGAACCCGGGAAGCCTATCCCAAGCGGTGAATAAATCCATATCGAGAACTGGCTACGGTGTTCACGTGGTATGGTATGTGGACTACCACCCAGAAGGACTCGCAAACATGAAAAAAAAGAAAAAACAGGCCTACATGGCCGTGTCTTGTGCGCTTATGTGGCAAGCTGTGGTGGAAGCGCGTGGTGGTTGTTATGTAGGGATTTCGTTTCTTTCGCTTGAAAAGGAAGAGGGGGAGCTTCTGTTTTTGGTCCTCCTTTTGTTGCTGTTTCTTGATTTTCTGTTGGAAACTGCTTTGTGTCCTAGCCGGGGCTACCGAATGCTTAATAGAGGTGTGCACGTCGACTCACCGTGTTGTCGTCCCGTTTGCTGGTGCCTGTTTTTGGATGTGTTTCTAGATGATGGGGAGACCACAGCACAAAACGGTAGCCGGATGCCATCGTTTGACACTGCTAACAACAGGCATCGTGATATTTCCAGCCAGACTCAACATGGTCCAGTATCTGCCTGGTTTCGTCCAGCCCCACCACCACCAGGCCGAGAACATGTGCTCAAGAATTTCGTCGTTCCTGCGACCCTCCGCTTACCGCCCTGCTCCCCTGCTCGCTTGGTTTTCCTCGCCTCCCCTTATTTTCCTCTCGTTGTCGCGCGTTTGTTCACTTTCCGCGTCACCCGCTGACCAAAAAAAAAAACGGGACTGGACGACGGCACCAAAATGGGAAACCAACCTCCCAACGGAAATAAAATTGGGAAAACAACCAAAATATATGAAACAGCTGGTACAGCTAGATGGCGAGAAGCGAAGATACGAAGGAGAGGACGAGTACGTCTCGGCCCTTTGCGCGTAAACGTTTTTCGGGGGTCCGCGTGAGTCCGACCGTCGGTGCTGCGTCTCACTGTCTCTCGCTCATTTCATTTCCCTCTACATGTCTTTCGGTATCTTGTACCTGACACTCTTGGTCGGCGGGTGTATGTAAGCGGGCGGGATTTTGACTTGATCATGGTCATCTCTTGTGTCCCCGGATCGTGATGAGAGCAGGATTATTGATGGATTCCCTTTGAGCTGGGGAAGGTCTAGGGCGTGCCTTGTCCCCGACAAGGCCTTTTCATTATCGTTCATGGTGTGGGCGTGCTCGGCCTTGCTGGTTTGCGTCCACCTCTCGCCTTGAGTTGTTTATCGGAAAATTATAAGCGCCGGGTGCGCGAGAGGAGCGAAGGGATCGAGCCGGAATCGAACGACGAGGGAGGGCGGAGACGAACAACCCTTAGAGAGGTACATGACGGCATCGCCTGTTTTTCTTGTGCCGTCGAGCTGTTGGACCGTGTTTCCGGGGTCCCGCCTTGGTACTGGGGGCGGGCCTTCGCGCTGGGCAAGGGTGCATGGCGGGCCCCGTCTTGTCCGCATGTATGTATTGATGCTTGATTTGGTGTGTGTGCGTAAGTAGTAGAGAAGTGTCGTGCGGCGAGTATGAACCGCTACAGCAGCCGTTCTCACCGTTTTCCGGACAAGGGAGCGATGTTTCTAGAGAGAAGTGCGTGGCTTTGCCCACCCGTGGGGTGGAACCTATCGAGAATGTCCCAACGCCACGACGACTTGGTGTCGAACCTCCAAGGTAGTAGGAGGATACTACTCACACACACATCAGAGGTCTGCGGTTGTTGGTGTTCGCCTTGTTTTTGGCTTGCGCGTGTGTTGTGTTTTGTCCCTCGAATGTCGTTGGTTTGTCAAAAGCCGAGAACGCGTGGCGGTTGTGGCGATCGTGGCGTCGAAGAGGACGAGGCCATGGAACGCTGGGCACGCATGTCTGTCGACCTGTCTTTTGTACTTTTTCTTGTTTTTTGCTGGTCTTGGCGTGCCTGTCTTGCTAGAGGGCTTTTTTGTAACGGAGATGTGTGTTTTGTGTACGCGTGTGACTCCCTCGCTTTGTGGTCGCTCTCTTCAGTCGGCTCCGGCTCAGTCCGCTGTCGTTGCCCCTCATCAAAATATTGCCTGTTTTCGTGTTACCTGGTTTTTCGTGGGGCCTTGCGGGCAGGTCTTTTCCGTGTCCTTTCTCTTTGTTTTCGCTGCACCTGGCCGAAGTGGTTTCTTCTGTTTTCGTACAACTCGGCCTGATTTTTCGGGTGGCCTGAGATCCTTGCAAGCAAGGTGTTTTTCGGAGTGAATCGTGAGCGAGAGGTGTGTTCCGCGTCCGTTGGTGCCGCTACAACTCACGTGCCCCCCGGAATATGATCACTCCGTTGAGCGTGTGGAACGCTTGTCTGTCTGTCGCTCCCGAATCTCTAGCTATTCGTTATCGTGCCAATGGGGTTGGTGTTCAGTAAGCAAGGCGGAAGAATACGCTGACTAGGGGTAGGTGCGATGAAGGAAAGTAGCGGCGCCGGCCGCAGCGCTGCCGCGCCGTGGGCGGCACACATATACGTCCGCACGTTCGGTTGAAGCGGCACCGTAACAGGCGGCGCGAAAAGTGTACACACCATGTCATGGAAAGCACGTTCGGTATGCATGTCGTCATCGAGGCAAGCACCTCTTTGGGGTTATTCTGTGTTTTGACACCGAGTGGGGTAGGGATGCGTAGAGACTAGGCCGCCCTGGAAGTGAAGGGTTTGAAGGGATTATTGGACCGGATGCGGCTGCAAAATATATTTTCCGTGGAACGGGCACGCGAGGAGAGGCGCATGTATTGCCGGTGGGAGAGATGAACATTTCAAACCTCGGAAGACGTTTAGACGCCTGAATTCGATGATGAGGGACTGCTACTGTATCCGTTTCCGATGGATGGGCGAAGGCAAGATTGTCCGCGGGACAGAGCGTTACAGACGAAGTGCGACACACCAGACTGTCATACAAGGTGAGGGGATTGATAATCATGATGAGCTGGCTGATCAACGCGGTAGCCTCATTTGACGGCCGATGCTTGAAAACACTCAACTCACTCGCTCGCTGGGGTGTAAGAGACGCAGCTCCCTGATCCCTTTTCGTGACGATGAGATGAAGTATCATATGATGCCCGTTGAGATGCTGCGGTGGCTTTTGAATGACGTTCCAGGACGTGGTGCGCAGCGATAGGAGCTGCAGAGGATTGGAAAAGGAAGCGTGTTGACCAGCTCTTCTTCAACACTCCAAAACACCACTCACGACGAACCATACCTTTTGCCGCACACAGGCGCCACGTTGTTTCCAGGTGAGTGTCCTCTCTCGCTCCCAGATATTTTGACACGACAATTATACCCCATCCACACGTAACACACCCAGAGTTTTGGAGAGTTTTGGAGAGTTCCTCCGACTTGTTGCTGGCAATACTAACCGACCCGTGGTGTTGAGCACACACTGAAAAGAGGGAATCCTACCTGCAGCAGCACGCATACATACAATACAGTCAACCGTAGTGCGGCAGGCTCGAGGAGGGCTACTACGTGTCTACGTGTTCCGATACAGCACGCGCGAATGCAATGTTTTCACACCCAGCATGAATGAAATGCGACTAAAAACTGTAAATGCGCAGCTGCGCGAGCTCTCCCTGAAGAAGAAAGCCATACCCCTCCCCAGCGTCTTTTTGACGCCAGGGAGTCCCCCACTCAAGTCTCACCCTTCTCCAGCTCAGACCCAAAGAACAATCCCACGAGCCGTGCTTGCGCCACCACCGGACCACGCAAACGCTGCAATGGATTCACTCACAAAGTCGGCACAGACTACATGCACGCGAAACTCTATGGGAATCCCCCATCCGCTCTGTTCCCCCATCCGCTCTGTTTCCAAATGCACCACTACGAAGCTCCAAGTCTTCGCTCTTACTCCCCGATGGTACGACACACGCACGCTCGCATCGATGATGGATCAATCGGTGGGCGTTCTTACAAACACCCGTCAAGAAAGAAACGAAGAAACCTTCCTCTTCGCGTGCGAGAATGTAAGTACAACACGGACATCGGCTAGCCTAGCTCCCTTCGCTCCGTCACCATTCGCTCTTCGCAAGCCACATAACAAAAAATAACAGCGAGAGAGCGAAAAACAAACACAAAAATGCCAAAGGTTAAACAAACGAGCAGGCAGTTCGTTGGAAGGTGGCAACTTCCACTCTCCGCAGCAACAAACACCTACCGATACCTTCCATGTGGGCAGGTAATCAATCAGATTCGTCTGGGGGCGAACGTAGCGTGGGGCAGGCGCGTTCAATCAGCCAGCGACACACCAACAATTAACCTCGGCCGCATCTACCGTTCAACTCTGCACCCCACACGCTCTCTCTTGTTCTCGATCAATTGCTGCTGCTGAGCTTCTTTCATCGCCGTGTGAAACACAGCAGTGTACCTACACTTTTAGCGAAGAGCCCCCAACTCGGGAAATATTCACTCAGTTGTTCCTTAGAAAGCTTCTGCAGAACGGTCCAAGAGAAGAAAGAGGGGGAAAAGAACATCCAAAACACTAGTTGGGAAAGAAAAGAAGACGAGCTCCATCTACCAGACCGCACGCTCAAGATCGTTCGAAAAGGCCGTGCGGCACACATGCATGATTCGAAAGGTACATCACACTATAGGTCCAACCAACGATAGATTCCATGCCATAATGTTCGTGATTTTCACCATTTCCCTCCCCGTGCTACCCTCCTCGGAAGTCAGGCGCTGAGAAACAAAACAACCCGGCTGGGAACACGAACAGCAGGCACTCACACACCGCAGCCGGAAACAAATGTAAAAACGCATACGCGACGGGATGTGGTGTTGTGTAGCTGAACTCGTACAACAGTGAATAACGACTCGTAACCCCTGCGCTTCTCTGTCCTTCCTCGCCCACCAAGCACTCTCCCCTCCTCGATGCTATCCACTCACAATGAATCCTTCAAACTGGACCCTTACGTTAACCCCCACCCCTTCTGTCTCCCTACCCACTTGCAAAAACTACAGCACTACAATAGTATAGGATAAATTCGGAACACATTTAACCCCTCCCCGTTTTGTCCCAAGGAACACCAACAAACCAAACCCAACCAAAACATGTTCTTTACTTTTGCGCCGTCTCTTGAGCCAGGCGTGCAGAAAAGGCAGAATCGACCGTGTCCCCTCCCCGCTTGTCCGATTCTTTTGGGAAAATCTACACACAAACCGGCGGTTACTTTCCTCTCACCAGTGACGAAAAAAAAATCTAAGGATCCGCCGCCCCCCCCCCCTTTCACCGTCCTCCTATCTCTCCCAGGGGAATTCCATCAAACAAGAGCCACGGGACACACGCTCCTGATGTCTTCTACGACCTACCTACCCATCGGCAGGACGAGAGAACGAAATCAAAACACCCGACTATGAAGGTCGTGGGTCCCAAAATAAATCGTGTCTTGTTGTGTATCGTTGGCTTGAATTTCGTGTGTGGCAGGAAGTCTCCGGGTGTTTCGATCCGCCGTTTGCCATTTTCAGCTTCATACCGCGTCCACTCTTGACTGCGTCCGCTCTCGCAATCGTTCCAGTCCTGCCCCGATTGGTTGGTTTCCAACATCAGGGAGAGGGAAAAAATGCGGGATAGAGCGCGGGAGAGAGGGGGGGAGAGAGAGACAGAGAGAAGGGGGGGCAGAGGCAGCGATAGACAGAGAGCAGAAGCGGAAGCGGGAGAAGACGAGAGAGGAAGAAAATACATCAGAGAGCTGTATGGTAAATCGCGATTGATTCGGGAAAGAGCAGAAGGGGCCAACCAGTCAGGTGTGAGAAAGCACGCGTGGACTCACGTGTTCCCCACAGCACTAACCAATCCCAGCACTTAAGTGCAACCACGCAAACACATTGTTGTAAGGCGTCGTCAACGTTCACCAATGAGGGTTATCCGCAAAACTTGTGGTGCGATCTAGTCTATTTTTCCTGCAAGAGAGTGGCTGTCCGCAGCTTGGTTTGTCTTACATACCGGCAACCGACGTTGTTGTCGCTCAAGCAGCACTTGGATTCTCATTTTTCTGAGGCCAGTTTCCAACTTGGTTTTTCACTCTCCATAAACACACTTTTCTACCCGTAGACATGTTTTTTAGTTTCTCCGTCCAAAGATATTTCTTACTTTCTTAGAAGAACAACTATTCCCTAAATCAGTTTCTTGTACGTCCTCACCAACGTAGAGAACCGCCGCCGCATCGTCGTTAGCGGCCTCGAACACCGCGTAGCTGTCCTTCCCCCCGACACACATCAGCACCACCCGCTTGCCCGGCTGCATGGACACGTTCTGCGGCGTGTTGTGGTGTTGGGGAAAGGGCGACGGACAGACATGGGAAGAATGTTTTGTCAAGCACACTCAAAAACCGTCGAGACTGTAGTGCGCAAAAAGTCAGTAAGGGAAGCCGCCAAGAATGATAACGGCGGCGACAGCGCAACGCACAACTTCAAAAGCGTATGTATACGGCACGTCCGTATCGCACACATCGCACCACTTCAAAAGGTTCTGCATACGGCAAGCCCGTATCGTACATCGCACAACTCCAAACAGTTACGCATATGCGTACAGAAGAGCCCTAATAGTACATCCCCCAAAGCAGCCACCATCACCATCACCAGCGGCACAAACAACCTCCTCACCTCTACGTCGCTCATCGGAAGCACGTGCTGCGCCGCCCCAAGGATCTTGTGGCTGTCCCAAGTGAGGCTATCTCCTTCTGCGTCGTATCGCAGCACTCGCAAGCCCGAGCTGCCCTTGCCCGCTCGATGGTGCTTCCGGACGCGCAAGCCCGGGCCAGTCATCACCTGAAAGTCGAAAGTCGTTGCATTCAGATTAAAGCGAATTTGGTATCAGAGCCGAGTCGCACGAACCTCCCACCGCTTGCGTCCATCGACCCTCTCCCTCCTATAATAAATCTCAAATCAATCGGTCAGGCGGAAAATAAGTGTAAGGGTATAACCCTCCATGTGTTACGGTCATAAACACGGCTGTGGACAAGGCTGACGAGGGAGAGCTGCGACGGCAGTCAACCTTGAGCCAAAAGGGGGGCCCATTGTATGGCCAGTGGGAGTCACGACTACCCCCCCCCCCCCCCCCCCCCCCCCCCCCCCCCCCCCCCCCCCCCCCCCNGCCCCGCCCCCCGTTACAAAATTCGCACCTCGCCCGTAGTATGGCAAGTAGGAGTTACGTATCCCGCCCCCCCCGACAAACTTCGCAACTCCCGCCTCCCAATACAAGCTGCACCTCGAGAAACTTGGTGAGAGAGATGTGATGATCGCCGCCAGGCAGCGAAAGGGGCTCGTCGTAGCCGGTGGGCGTCAAGGCCACCCCGGCACCGCCCCCACCCATGTCGTCAAGGGCGTCGCCTCCGCTACCGCTGCCGGTTTCGACCGGAGGCATTTCGTGAGGCTGTTGTCATCGTCGTCGTCGTTGGTGGGGCAGGAAGCGGGCGGGACCAGGTTAAACCACACCGATAGAAAGAGGCAGCACGGACAAACCATAGAAGAGAGCGTGGTCGCCAAGGGGCGGGGCAGGGCGGGCAGGGGGGGGAGGGGGGGGGGGGTACTCATAGTCGTNGGCATCTTGTGCTTACTTCCTTGCTTACGGATGACAGCTGCGTATGGCTGATTATTTTCTGGTGCTTCCACTTCCAGAGACAGTTAATAAGTATTGTGTAACTGCCTCGAGGGTGCTTGACCAATTTAACAAAACGTGGTGCGATCATCCCCCTTGCGCGGAGTGAGGGTTCTCCACCCCGCACAACATGATCCACTCGACCACCATTATGGTTACCGCCAAAAGAAAACAGAGCTTAATAAAAAAGGGTAACTGGTTGCCGAGCTCACGAAGTGAATTGGCTTGTTTTACAACGTCGTTGCCAAGCGACGAAAACCCAATCCCGATGGCAAACACCGATGGGGGGGCTTGTTTTACAACGTCGTTGCCAAGCGACGAAAACCCAACCCCGATGGCAAACACCGGGGGGGCGAGGGGGCGAGAAAACGCCTCGTCATGGAGAAAACCGCACGAGCACGCGAGGCCGAATCAGCCCGCACGGATAAGTCAAAACACACCGCAAAAACCATCCTAGCATCAGCAGCAACCCATCACGCGAAGAAGCCACCGACATACCCGTTCCGGCTGAGGCC